TCCAATATGATCTCACCTTAACCCGACTACCTTTGCAAGGACCTCTTTCCAAATAAGGTCACATCCACAGGTACTAGGGGTGAGGACTTCAGCTCAGTCCACAACCACCTTTTCCTACATGCAGAACAAACTTGAATAATGAAACATGGCCTGTTCTGCTGAGCACACGTCATGCCACAACCCCCGGTCGCTGGCCTAGCTGTGCCTACTAGCAATCAGAGAAATAGACTTGACTTGCCATTACAAGTTTCACTAAAGCAGCAGGTCTCAACCTGTGGGTCACGACCCCTTTGGGGGTGGAACGACCCTTTCACAGAGGTTGCCTAAGACCATCCTGCATATCAGATACTTACATTACGATTCATAACAGTAGCAAAATTAGTTAGGAAGTAGCAACGAAAATAATGTTATGGTTGGGGGTCACTACAACATGAGGAACTGTATTAAAGGGTCACAGCATTAGGAAGGTTGAGAACCACTGCACTAAAGAAATGAGTCTGTGACGATACAATGTGGCAGGTGGTGATGCGTGTGGGAGATTGTGCACACCCCCTCCAAGCCCGGATGCAGACAGCCTACACCCATCATGTAGAAAGTAGGTCTTTGGGAAGTCACCAGACTACCTCCTTGGCCTGGCAGGTACTGTGCACCCCTGACCGCAGCCTTGGACTCACAAGGGAGAAGTTCTCACTACTTTTTCTGGATCCACCATCCACATGCATCATAGCGTGGCCTGGTTCCAACCTCATGCCATGCATTCATCTCTCCTCCCCACACCCCCTGCAAATTGAAAATAGTGACACACCCGCCATCTCACAGGGCTATTGGGCAATTTAATTAATGTTTATAAAGCACTCTGAGGTCTTCAGATGAAAACTGCTGTGTAAGTGCAAAATTATTATTAGTTCTCAGCCTCCTGCCCCTTGACTTCTGACACCGGCTTTTGTTGTTCCTGAATGGAGCCGTTTATGGGCCGTCCAGCTGGCTCTTTCAGGGGGACATGGGTGAGTACATACACATTTGCAGATTTTTTCCCCTTTGAAAAAAGCATTCCAACTCTGTGGGATGTCTCAAAGCTTTTCAATGTCTGAATTTCTCTCTGCTTGTCTCTCCTAAGTACTGTAATCGACAAGAGTAGATTGTAAACAGGCTACTTTGGCAAGAATGAGGGGAAAATGGTCAATTCAAAGAAATGGCCCCTCTTACAATGAAGAATAAAACAATATCTCCCGCTCATGCAGAATCTAAATGAACCACTAAGTGAGGTCTCTCTCTCTCGTGCCCAGAGGGATACTGTACGGGTTTATGCATCGAAAGAATAAAGAATGGAAAATTTGTTTTCAGTCCCAAGTTTCGCCTCCTTCCCTCACCCTAACTTCTCCGGAACCATGGAAACAAATACACCCCACCCAGAGGATGTTTTCCTGATAGTCCTTTTTAACCTAACTGTGCACTGCCTGGGGGCCCGTGGGGAGAATGAGATAAAGTGGAAAAGGAGAAAGACGCCCCTGCAGGTGGAATCCCTTGTCTCTGAAGGACAGAGTAGGGCTCCGTGTGGTTTCTCAAGCACTGGGGTGAGAAGCAATGTTATATGGCACCATTTTCCTCTCCTCTGAGACGTATCCATACCCACCCCACATTCCCCATGCACAAACCATCACAGCCTTGGAAGGTATCTTCTGGTTTACCATCTCGCTTTGTTAGTAGCATTTGTTAGCCAACGACCGGAGAACTTTATCTTACAAAATCAGTAAGGAGCAATTATGTAACAAGCAATCCATTGGATAAAAGTATAAAGCCACGGAACCAATGAAAGAACCAAGTGGTAGTTATTAATATTATGGCTGTAAACACACACACACACACACGCAAACCAAAAGGGCTCAGAGGATGCAAACCCTGGTTTCCTAAGTCAACCAATCACTGATCAAATATAACATCAAATTATATAAGGAGAAAACCAGGAACATTCTTCTGAGAAAGAAGCATGGAGGTGGGAGTGGGAGTGGAGATGGATAAAAGCAGCTTGAAACATCTGAAGTCTGTGATGGCAGCAGCAGAATCGTAGCGGCTACAGTGACGGCTGTGAAACGTGGGGGACCATTCCTGGTCTATGATGATTAAGTTCTGCCTCTTGAGCAGAGGTAACAATAAAAGGGATGAGTTCTTTCTTTACATTCTGTTATTTTAAAAAAGAAAAAGAGGCCTAAGTTTAAAAATAATAACAAAAACTTAAGTACAGCAGCTAGAATCATAGAAAGAAACCATAGGACTAAAAATTGAAGAGACGTGAACAGGAGCCACTTGGTAACCACCCCTGTCTCCTTTTCCACTGATGCAGACAGAGCTTCTTCAAGCTTCCCCTCTGTCTCCTGCATGGTCTTCCTGACACCTACCTCCTCCAGTTCTTTCGTCCTTTATTTTCCTGGTTAGTATCATAAAATTGGGTCTAAAATTATGGCTCTCCAATTCAGAATCCTTTAGTACTGCCCACTGTACAAACTCAACAATAGCTTGTCCATCTTCCCCAACTTCCCCCTCCCGCCTCCTCCTGGGGCTGGAGGTGCCCCTGCCTGCATGAACTCCCACACAGCCCTCTGTTCCACCTGCTCTCTACTTCTTTGCCTTAGAGACTGTGCCCTTGCCATTCCCACCATCCATTCATATCCTGCTTATCTTTCAAATCCAAGTTCAAATGGAATCAGTTCTGCAAAGCCTTTGAAGGTGCTCCCAGAATAATCTGGACACTCCCACAGCCCTTTTTCTGTGTTCCCACTCTTCTTCATTTATCTCCCTAATACCAAGTAAAACAAGTAACTGCCTACAGCTCTGAGCTCACTTCTCCTTCCAGTAAATTGTGAGCTCCTTGAAAGGAAGGCTTGTGTCTTGCTATTTTAAGTATTTCACTGAGTGCCTACAACATTATTTTGTCCCTGGCAAAAGCTCAGCCAATATACTTATATTTAATTTTACCCACTCAACAGACACACATACACACACACACATACACACACAAAGCAGGTGGCAGAATCTTAAATCCCTCTGCAATTTAAAGGTGAAAAGTAGAAAATAAGCACATCATCTTGAGAAGACAATAAATAATAATAGTAGACTGTGACCAAAGAACTGATTGATTATATTTTACCAACCAATTAAATCAAATCTGGCTCTGTAAACAATCAGTTACAAAACTAATTCACAAATCACTGGTAAATGAAGTAAGCAGCTCCTATTCTATGATGTTCAGCCTTTGGCTATTTTTAAATAGAAAAGATAAAGTATTAGTCAACAATCCAGTTAATGCCACCAAGTAAAATTGCCAGTGAGGGAAGAGCTGGGGAACCAGAGTGAGTCATTCCAAGACTCCACTCTCCCTGGGCTGTGAGGTCGAATGCATGACCTCGCTCTGCTGTCTCTATGTCCACGGGCCGTGCTGTCTCTCGTCTCTCACCGCCAAGCACATAATCAGGCTCTGTTGGACTCTGCTGGACTCTGTGAGAGTGGCCCAGTGTTCTCTGTGATGAAACCCGCTAAGTAGTGTTATAGATACAAGAAACCAGAGGCTTTCTTTTGGAAGAATGTGGAGCTGATATTCATGTCTGTATTTGTGTCCCAGGACATCCCAATGTGAAGTTATTATAACTGTAGATCTCATTCCATGGACAAAGGAGAGACCTGAGAACTAGGCTTTCCTTGGCAATGGAGACAAAGAATAGATATGGTCCATGATACCCACCTTCCTCTGAAATACCTCAATAAGCCTCAATTAAGGCAGTGAGAAAACAGTTCACTCTCCTTAATAAATTCTCTCCTCCCTTCTCTCCCTCCCTCCCTCCCTCTCTCTCTCTCTCTCTCTCTCTCTCTTACACACACACACACACACACCCCTTTTCTGATACCAAAGACAAGAAGTGAGATGTTGGGTCTACCTGCTTTCAGATTTCCATCATGTTTCTACCTTAACTCAGTCCAAACTGACAACGGGCAGCCCCCCTCCCTGGTCTCCCTCATCCTGTAATTCTAATGGCCAAAAAACATTTCATTTCTGCTGTATCAATGCTGCTCTGAAGGTAGCAGGACTCCCTTCAGAGTTTTGTCCTTTGCCAAGTCAAAACTTCTCTTTAAGAAAATCACCTTGTCAAAGAGTCATAATTGCTGACTTTCTCTGGTTCCTTTTTCTTTCTTGTCCTAGTATCAATTGAGGACTTACTGTTTGCTGGACAGTAGGCTTAGCCCATCCATATACACATATTATCTCATTTAATCCTCACAATAAGCAGGTGGAAATAATTCTAAAGATCTGCCAGCTGAGGGCAGATCTAGAGAGGTACAACTTACAAATTGTGAAGCTAGGATACCAACTCAGGGGAACAAGAACTCTCTGAGCTCACAACTGCCACGCCAAAGGCTCTTCCTGGCACTTTTGGTAAAGCCTTTGAGAATAAGCTTGATTCCATTGAAAGAGAATCAACAGATCTTAGAGATACATTATGTGCATTCATCTTTTCAAAGAGCCATTCACTCATGATGCTTTTCTATTACAACCACTTATACCAGACTGTTGTGAACATTTTTGTGATAAGGGACCTATTAAAGAATCTTGAGTGAACCCCCATAAATCTCAGACACGAATCCCCTGGCTTTATATATCTTCCTTAAGCAGATTCTCTCCTCCTTTCTATCCTTCGCACCGTCATCCACATTAGTACAAGCTGGTGGCAGACTTACTAGGTGAGAGGTAGCACCAGGTTGGATCAGGAGCATCTCTGGGGAGGAAGGAAGGGTCTGTCTGCCATACACATATACGCTCTCCCTCCCAGAGGAAGGACTTGCTGATCTTCCAGCTCTGATTTGGATTCTGATTCTCTAGCTAGTTTATAAACATCTCAACACTCATCCCGAAGTCTTACGAGTAGTGTGAAGTATAAAACGGAAGGGCACTCCCCATTCACATGCATTCCTTTAATATCATGAAAGCAATGACAGAGGCAGATACTAAATCGACTTGGTGTCCCTTTTACTGTGCACACACCACGAAAGCAATACAATCTCTTTGGAAGACAGTAAGGAAAGGGCCCAAGTATAAGAGAAAGTGGACAATTGCTGTCAAAACATCAGTGCAACATTCTGTGAGTCATTTCTGCCAGCGGTTCCCACGTGTCCATATCTTCAAGTACTTTTGGCTGGTGCGCCAAGAACAGACCACCGAAGTGGCCTTCTCACTTCCCCACGGGAATTCGTACAGAAGAAGACAATGGGAAAGTCTTCTCTGTAACCTCCTTTGTTTAGAATGATGGAAACACCTGAGAAATGAAAAGCATCCTCTCAGCCCCAGACCACCATCATCATAGCCAGGATAACGGCCGACAGAGTCTCAAATCTGCATAGTGCTTTATACTTTCAAAAGCATCTTCGTGTGTTATTTTAATCCATCCACACGACTGCCGTCTGCTTTACAACTGAGAAAGCAGACACCGTACGAAGCTTGCCCCAGATCCTTCAGGTCAAGTGGATAACTGGGGCTAGAACCCACACTGCACGGTGGGCCCAGCATTTCCGCCAGGTCACTAATCGGCTCTCTATCCTGCTGTCACCCTCTCTGACTCCTTCGCCCTCTCCATAGTCAGGCTGCTTCCATCTCAGTATAGATTTCAAAAGGAGGAGAACACAAACCCTCCTTTGACAAGTACACATAGATACAAAAATAGATGTGGCACTCTTCTTTATTGCTTCTTTATGGATGTTTTTCCCAGATCAAAAGACCCTGCTGGGGGACAGTTCGTTGACCTATTATTTCTTTGTACACATAATACTCTTTAGTGATAGCAGGACCTTCGCACCGGGAAATTATTTGCTAAACATTTCCCACTGTCTCACAGCTGCGTCTGTCAATTTCTCCCAGACGTAAACCATCTGGGCTGGTACAACAAAACACAGCAAAGTTCTTCGAAGAGATGTTCCCCAGATGTGGAAGAGGACAGCTGTCATCAGGAGTCTGTCACAGGGCCACTGAGGGGAATTCATATTTCCCAAGACCCTTTTCCAACCGCATCACACCATAGCTTTTGTATGACTGAAAAAGTGTCCAGAGGTTGACCAGATAGCTGCAGAAAATGCAACAAAGGTAGTCACAGAGAAGTAGTGATGGCCCCATGCTGGGTGATCATGTCACAGTTTTCAAGCCCCAGCTGGCAGAAGCAGGGTGAGATCCACTTCCAGACGTTTCCAGCCAGGTGAAGGGCCTCACAGGAAGGCTGCCATCTTTAGCACAGGGCCCATTCTTCTCTTGTCCAGCGTGACAGACACACGCACCACTGAGCCCTTGACCTCAGAGAAAACCACCTGCAGAAATCCTGCTCATACCACTTCTGTCTTGTGAAAAGTCACTGGCCCCAAAGGCTTATCTGGGGAGGCAACTGGGAGAAAAGCTCTTTCCACACCAGGTTTAGAAAAATCTGGAAAAATGCTCTGTAGCCGTGCAAACTTCTGAAAAAAATCAAATACAAGTGAAGTAAATAATTAGGAAAATGCAGCAGTTGTCACCTCCATTGAAACTCTAAGCTCTGGCTGCAGGCTCATTCTGGTGGCCCTCATGATACCGCGGCCTCACTCGCTCTGCAGATGTGAGTTGCACCATTACGCAGGCATCTCCAAACCTGGGCCAGGTGATTCACTGATCATAGACTACAGCCATTTCAAGGCCCTACTGTTAGCTATCTGTATGGAAAATCAGTGCCCAAAGAAGCAGGAATTTGCCAACAAGAAACTAAAGGTGCTTATTTTAAAAACTTACTGTCTGGGAATTCTTAATTATTCTGTCATGTGCAAATAACTCTAACAACCAAACTTGAGGCCAGGAACTAAGTCTTACACCTTCTTATAGCCCATACAGTGCCTGTCAGATGCCTTGTATGCAGCAGGTGCTCACTGGAGTCTTCTGGTCAGCTAATGTCTAAACAGAAGCCAGAGAGGCAAGCAGTGGAGGGGCACAGAGAGTGGCAAGGACTAGCCCTGGGACAACGTCCTGAGTGAAGTCTGTCCTGGCGCCTCAGTACCCAGCCCTTCCTGGTGGTACTGAGACATAGGGGCAGGTACTCCCTAGTGGCTCAGGCCCTTAGGTGGCCCTCCTCCCTCATGATCACAGTCGTCAACCACAGTGAGCAGCCAGGCAGTAGGCTCAGGAGGATTTGAGCTGGAGCTCAAGGGCATGTCCAGGATGTCCAAGCACCAGCCGGCCACCCTCCACTCCAGAGGACTCTCTGGACCCCCTCACTGCTCTGGCTTCTTGGGGTTTAATTCTTAAGGAGTGGGTGGAAGTGCCAGAGATATCAGTGGAAAACCCCCAAGAGAAAACAGTCCGAGGGCAGGCAGAGGACACTGATCCTTCCTGGGGTGGCAGGCCTTGCTCCCCTGTCCACAGGAAAAGGGCCCTCCCACCTGGGGGTGACACCCAGTCAGAGCGACAACATCTAGCAGGTAGCTGAAAGGCCTCTGGTCTCTTAAGGGACCCTCTGGCCCTTCTCAAACTTCCCTCACACATATTACTTCGTTTTCTTTGCTAACACCCTATGTGTCGTTGCTAGACAAGAAACGGGCTGGGAACAGTTCAGGGAGTTTCCTGGGATGATGCTCCAAGTAGTCCAGGGTCCACAGACCAATCTCTCTCCCCATTTTGCAGATGTTCCAGAAAGATACTTACGCAAGTGAAAATGATGAGTGTTAGGTAGAAAATGACCAGTGCCAACAGCAGCACAATCTCAGCTCTGTACTTCTTGAAACTCACTTCTCTGCGTTTCAGGGCGCATCCTTAAAGAAAGCACGGTAATACATGAAGCCATTTTAACATTTGCCACTAGGATAAAAGGTTATGTTTTGGTAAAAGGGCTTTGTCCCTCCATTCTGAAGTCCTGCCCGTCTCTCAGACCTGCCTCCCATCTGTGACAGGGTGAATGACAGTAACAGTTCCCAGTGACAGCAGCAGCCAGTATGCACTACGGCTCTGTGCCTAGCTGTGTGCAACGGGACTTGCATGTAGGTTCTCCCCACATCTTCAGAGCAGTGGTCCCATTTTACAGATAAGGGAGTTGAGCGGCTGAGAGACTCCAGCAGGTGGCAGATGTGGCCCAGACAGGGCCTGTGGCCCATCTGCCTCCATTTCAGATGTTGGGCCTTTCCTGGAGTTTATTTTGTTCTCACATCAGATGAACCCACATTTGCTAATCCACAAATTACCACATGTGTCCTCACTGCAGGGGGATTCAGGCACTGTGAAAGGAAGCATGTGAGCTGCCCTGCTATCACGGAGGAAGCGGACACGCTTGTATAGAATCATTCCAGCTCTCCCACCAAGGCAGGCAGGATGAGTAGAAGGGAGAACGGCTCCCTGAGGGGCTGGGAAGGGCTAAGGCTGCAGCACTGAAGGAGAGGAGAAGGAGTGAGCCGTAAGCCCGGCAAGTGACATGGACAACGGCCTCTCCCTACTCGGGTGGGACACGCAGTGTGCTGCTCAGGGATGCAAGCCTGGCTTTGGCTACATACAGCATGCCTGCTAACAGGGTCAGCTTGAAAGCCCAGGCAGGACAGTGGAGTGCAGATTACCAAAGGGGTTCGCCCCTTGGAGTGCATACAACTGTACCGCCAAAGAGAGGCTGACCCTGAAATTGGATTCAAAATTTCATGCAACAGTCTAGGGATGGATCCACGAGGGTCTGTCACTCACGAAGAGAGGCTGAGAGTCATTGACCTAATGGTCCAAATATCGATTGAGCATTCAGTCTGCCCCAGGCACTGCACTCAGCACTTTGACGTGACTTCTCATTCAACCTTTGCAACACGCCTGTGTTGTAGATGTTACTATCCCCATTTTAGAGATGAGAGAACTGAGGCTCAGAATCAATCAGGGATTTGCAACTAACAAGTGTCAGAGTTAGTATTTGAACTAGATCTAATGACTCCAGGGCTTAACCCCTTAATTTGTAAGCAGCACTGCCTTCGAAGAGAGGAAGGAGAGAAACAGGCTCAGCACATCCTCTCTGCCCCCTTCCGCTCTCCCCCATGATGTTCCTCTCATTTGTCCTCCTGTGAATGATACTCATTGAAGGCCCACTGTGTGCCAGAGTACAGCAGGGAACAAAACAGAAGTTACTGCTCTCCTAGGGGAGACAGACAGTAACCCAATCCATATACAACTTGTCAGCTGTGCTAAGTACCAAGAAGACAAAGAAGTTAGTGAAGGCTGGAGACGGAGGAGGGCCTACAGGGGTGGGGGGGTGTGTGTGTGTAACACTGAGCAAAATGTGCACACTGCCCCCCTAATCAGAGAGTGTGCTCTTTTGAGTATAAGAGTATCATCTTGAATCTGGGTCCTTTCAGATACCCAAGAGAGGGGAAAGCAGCTATTGTACAAAATCTAGGGCTCTACAACAGCATGTTTCTCATTTCAGCCTCAGCCCCTAACAAGTGTTAGGCAAAAGTCAAACAAAAGGCACCGTTTAAGCCACAAGGGGGAAAAAAAAAGTTATGACATTCCCGCAGTGGAATTCAGCTGTTGGCCACAGATGTGATTCAGAGCTGTAGTTCAGACTCCAAAAGAGAGGGCTGGGGATAAGCCCTGCACTGAGTGCACATGCATTTTATAAGAAGAAATCAAGTGTGGCAGGTCACCTCACCTGTCACTCTCAAGATCACTGTGCCACTCAGGTTTCTCTGTCCTTCTGGCTCCCACAGAGTGCACCTGTATGTCCCAGAGTTGCAGGCAGTCGTGTTTTGAATCTTCAGAGAATAGAGTCTTTTCCTGGGAGTGTCAGCTGAGCCATTTTGCCCCTTCTGAAGGTGCTGCTGCTCCCTAAGGTGGAGATCTCCCTGGGGAGCCTCCATCCTCTCCGCCCCATCTTCCGTGAGCTGTGGAGAAGGAACCAGAGTGCATCTCACTCCACCGCAAGCACAAGGACTTGACATCAACTTTTTCCATCTTGATTTCACAAAATCCATCCTTAACTAATGTTTCTAAAACAAGATATTCGGTTTTTTCTTTTTTTGTATGTGTGACCTTTGTAGGAGCAAGATATAATCCATGTAAATTCCTTAAGGTTGTATCTTCTTTGGAATAAGATCAGGACCGCATCTTACGATTCTAACCCAACTTCCACACAATATATGGGAGAGAATGCAGCTGTTGACGGAGGTGATGTATTGAGTATGAGTCAGGCCGGATTATATTTTGTTACTAATTGTTCGGTATTAAATTTTCTCTTGTTTTCTTTAGATACCAATTCACCCACTGTTGGATTCTTATTTTTGTAACCTACCTTTTTATTTGTAAAAGTTCCTAAATCTCTTATAATCAGTGCTACACAATTCAACTAAAACCAGAGAGACCGATAAGCAATTCATCCTGTAAACAGTGGCCTTGTTCTTTAAAAGGCGTGTGTTTGTGTGGTCATGCCCGACACAGCCAAACATGCCAGTTTTTCCCTCTACAAGGGCAGGAAGACAGCTGAGAAGAGTGCCCTGTGGAGATGGGATGTGGCAGGTCCTTTGGTGGGTATATCACATGGAAGGGCCGAAATAGCTGAAATCACCACACACAGGGCAGACCTGCCTGATGGGGGTGGACGCCCCAAGTAGCCAAACAATTAATCTGGCTGGCTCTCTTTTCCTGAACTACCTCTGTGATTAAACTAGTGCGGCATTTTCAGCACCTCCTTCAAAGATTAGGCACCTGCCACATTCCCCATCTACTCTCTCTTTCCTGGACATATTTTTAATTTGCCTACTTAACTTGCCATTTGTTCCTCCATTGAAGTGTTTTAAAGCTTCTAAAATGGATTTACACAAACAATAAAGCAAATCCCTGTTTTCAGCGCTCACAGTCCTCCCTTCAACATTCCCCAGCCGCATCCCCTAGTACACCTGAGCTGCCTTTGCTGGTCAGCTGGGGACCAGCACTGAGCCAGGATTAAGTGACACTCCTTATTGGTCCTTACCGTTATACCTGCATCCAAGAGCCACCTCGAGGAAAGGGACAGAGATTAGCAGGTGTCACTGCCCCTGTCTTTGCCTACACCTGCCAATGC